AATGCACAAGCATCTTCTAGACTGCTCTATCAATAGACTTTTGTCTCAGCCGTCTGCCTAAAGCAGAACAGGCATAAAACCTGCACTGGGCCACTGCTTAATGTCACTGCCTCAGACTGACCAACTGTTTTTACAGAGGTCTTCTAAAGCAATGTCAAGTTCAGCAACACCCAGGGAAGCTACAGTAGCCTGTGCCATATGGCTTTATCTTGAATACGGAAATCACAGAAGCTGAAAAATCAGACTGCAGAGATCAGACTGCAAACCACACAAACTCTAGCAAGGTATCACACCACACCCTATCAGGGGGTGGGGAAAAGGTACATCTGCTTCTTTCCCAATCTCCAAAATCCACAATGAAATATCTAAAATTTTTGTTATTGGAGCTGCATCTTCCAAGTAAACGCAGTCACTCTACTAGACCTCTGCAGGAAATAATGAAGTATTTCATAAAGACAGCTATGTACCAATTAATATCAGTTGAGATTCAATTTTCTGCGTCCAGACTTCCCCAATTAGGTTTGCAGATAGAAATTCATTGTAAGAAGATAGGATTCTGCCTTCTATTTTGGTAGTCTCACTGTCCTTATTTGTTAATTAAATGTGTGAGCAAATAGGGATAAAGACAAGTGCATGCAGACTGATTTAGACATTGCAACAAGCAGCCACACTCTGCCTATGGAAAACACATGACAAGGATATAATAACCCAGACACTAACAACTGAAGAGGAATGTCTAATGACCTTCTGGATCAACTACTGCCCTGTTAAAGCTCAGGCTTTGCTTATATGAATTATTTAGCCTGATGTGAAATATTGACACTGAGCACTACTGCTGTTTATAAGCACACTAGCCAGCTGATATTAACCCCCTCAAATTGAATTTTTGGAGAATTTCTTAGGAAAGCAAGGGATTTCAATGCTGGAGAACTACTTCAATTTTATTCAAATTCATTCCATCCCAAATAAACAATGTGACAATCTTCTGAGTTGTACGATTGTTTAAAAAAAAAAAAAAAAAAAAAAAAAAAAGCCAGGGTTATCTTAAAAGGAATCTGTAAAACAATACAAAGTTTTTATTGCCTTTTTGCAAGATATGCTTCTCTTTTCTGAAAGTATGTTAACGCGCCACATTCAACAGTATGCTTGCAGTGTACTTAGGGAACATTTGCATTACCTTTAAATAAATTTGTTTGAGGACTAACAACAGTGTAAGTAAGGAAACATGAGAATATTTACCCTGACCCTCACGCATGTTTTGATTGCTGCTGCCTCCACATCTAATCTACTTTAAAAAAAAAGAAAGAAGAAAAAGCTAGCTCGGTTTTACCTGTAAATATCTGCAAACATGCCAAGCATGCAAAACTAGCATGGGTACAACTGTTCCTGAAGGAACCAACCTTGCTGACTGTGATGCAGACATATCTTCAGTTGTATGAAGCAGGAAATTCCCCGGAGAAGTCAGTGGGCTTACTTACATTACTATGCAAGGGAAAGATGATGAAAGTGAGTAGAATCAAAAGAAATGGGGAAAAAAAAAAAGGCAAAAAAACTTTTGACTAACAAACTTAGGAAGGAGAACCTGTACTAGGGGAATTAGGGCTGCAGTCTCTAAAGACATAGCCAAGCATCTTTCATCTGTCACTAAAAATTAACTTCATAAAAATGATCTTAGGAGAGTGTGATCACACCGCAGTGCCTGGAGAGAACTGAAAGGAAGCACATGCTCAACTGTGTGATCACAGCAAAATGACAACAGTAGGATCTAAAAATAAATTGGTTCCTTGCTCTCAAGCTGTTTTCTCCCACAGATACCCAAACCAGAACCTCCAATTACTGCTTTAAGAGCTAAGCAGAGAAATAAACAATCTTTTGACAGTACTTGTTTTCCATACATCATGTCTGCATGTCAAGAAAGTTTGAGCTTGCTACTGTGTGAGAAAGCATGAACAACTGGTCTGTACATAGACTATGCGTATGACTACCTACCCACTCAAATCCTTTAGTATTAAAGGCCCTCCTCACACATCTAGTAACTGCTGTTAGTCATCAGCCAAGACAAGATACTGGACCACAACAAATCATATTTCCAATCCAACAGCAGAGATTAAAAAATGAGACAGTGAAACTATCCAACAGAGTATCATTTCCAGTGAAATGATTTGTGAAATGTGAAATTTATTCTGACAAGTCCATCACACCATGGGCATAACCACAAATGACTGTACTAGGTAAGAGCAATCACCCATCACTGTCTAGTCTTCATAGCTATGCTAGGTACTCTGAGGAGTTCATCGTCAGTTTTATATGATACTTCTCACAGACCTAAGAGCAAAGCAAATGATTTCCTCTGTAGTTCAACTCAGCATCAGTATGCCCCTAGAAGAACAGTTCCCCCTTGGATCAGCTAATGACAAGGCTATAACATGAATCATGAGAACACCTGAAATTGTATCTGATGGATTCTAGGTGTTGTCCTTATACAAAATAGCAGACCTTATAAAATAGCTCCCTTTATAAAAAAAACTATTATATTCTGTGTACCAATGAGTCAAAGTACATACAAGATCTAATAAAACAGGTAACACTTGAAACCCTCCTCTGAACAAAGAGAAGGACTTTTGCCAGCATAAGCCCTACCTGTTCTAAGACAAAGAATATTATTTTGCCTTATTTACATTACATTCAGAAGAAGGGGACCTCAATCAAGATTGGATTTTTATTTATATATTTGGTTTTTTTTTTTGCAAGTTCCCACTTTTAAAAGAACATCCATGTTTCTTTAGGAAAAAAAAATACTTTAATAACTAAACTCAATTACCATGAAAAACAGTTGCAACAACGTACTTCCTTTCCCATTTCCTAAACCTTTCCAACAAGTCAGGACACAACCATTCAGAGATGCCAACTGAATCTCGGTGCCAACTTTGTGAGGCAAGTAATCCCTTAAGTAACTAGATCTTTTACCAAGCTGGTAAGTGACTGGATCAAAAAGAGGAGGGGGAGAGAGAGAATCCCCAAAACAGAGACAGAGGATCAGCATCAGAAGGTTATCACTCATTGAACAGCAGCATTTAAGATCACCCATTCTATATCCACGATTGTTTCTTTCCCCTTAAAATGAAAGCAACTTCATTTGTTTTATACTTAATATCATTTTTAATATATTACCATGGAGAGAGCAGCAAACAAAAGCCAATCCCCTTTCTTGAAAGTCACCTCAAATCCTTTGTCAAAAACCTTTTCTCAAAAGCGACAGACTGTACAGTTTACTAGCGAACAGAATATGCACATGCTACAGAAAATATTTTAAAAACAAACACCTCTGAGGTGCCAGGATGATCCCTAGGGTGTAAGAACCTGAGAGTGCACATGAAAAAAGAAGCCTCAATTATTTCACACTGGACAAGGAAAAAATGCTGAAAGCAAAACATCTGAAGACAGCAAATACGCTACATGCTTTAATATTTTTTTTCCATCTTATTAATCATTCTGTTTACTAATGTGAACAAGCATTAGTTTAAGCTAGTGCCATGCCAAAGATGCATGGTCCTATCTACTTTCATCGCACATCACAAACACCTCCCTTTGCTCCTAGTAACAGTAAAAATTTGTCCTGAAAGTTCAAGTATGAGGCTGTCCAATACACATTTGACTGTGTAGCATTTCAAGCTGCACCTCCAAAAGAAATTTTTTTCATGGCTGCTCTATTTACAGAGCCTAGGAAACGTGCCGGCATTACGGAGGATGGCACATCTCTAAGAGACCAGGAGAAGAACATAAAAGTTGCAAGCCAGCTTAGCAGAGAAGCTGGTGAAGGGCCCTCATAAGTGCAAAGCAGAAGAGATTAAAAAACAAAACAAAACAAAAAAACAACTTTAAAAGTGTTCTGAAGATACTTCAAAAAGTAATAGACAAGGTGTTTACAAGCCCTCTTTAGGGTCTCTACAGACAGACCTAAATAAATTTACCATTTCCCTGACCTTGGTACTAGCAGCAGTTATTCCTAGCCCTAGGAACTCAATTCGAGACCAACATTAACTTTGTCAAAGCTTTGAAACTGAGCTTGTAAGCAACAGCTACTCACCTCCACCTGGCCACCCCCAAGGAACACCTGGACATCAGGCAAATCTACTGTCCCGCCACGTTGTTGCCAACCCGTTACCATCTCCTTGCCAGTACAGATCCCTTAAGCAGCTTCTTGGCCTGCCTCCCATGCCAAACGTCCTCAGGGATGAGAGATCCAGTCCTATAAACATCCCCTTTCACAAGCAGGCCCGTTGATTTGGACAGCATCATTGGTTGGAGATGGCCTCCAAAATGGATCCTGCCTCACCCAGCTGAAAGCAATGCTGGCTAATCAGGACATCCCTCCCCTCAGCACCCTGCCCTGCTAGCACATCATCAGAAGCAGCTGAGCACTCAGGAGTAGTAGTTAGGGGGTTTTAGTCCTAGCACCTGGACAGGCTTTTACTCCTATCAGCAAAAGTCATATTTCTCCAGTTAATACCCTGCTACCTGTGTCTTTCTGCATTCTTGCTGGCAGAGCACATGTGTCTGCCCCCCAGCGGGCTTCTCCTGCATCCTATCAAACTGCTACCTGACCCTTCCACCTCCTGCTCTGCCCACTCACAATGTCAGGAACAGCTTGGATTACATTAAGTTGCAGTATAATTAACTGCGAGTGAAAGGGATTAATGTTCACCAAATACATGAAGTGTCTTCTTCCCTCCCTACTAGGAAATCCAGTTTTGCAGTCACAGGGACTTTGGTCTGTCCTCTCCCGTGTTTGAATCAAAGGGAAAAAATGGTGGGAAATCGAAGACAGTTTAAAAAAAACAAAACAAAACAAAAAAGAACAAAACATATATATATAAATAATATTAAAAACACATGCAAAAAAAAAAAAAAAAAAAAGCAGCACTGAAAAGACTGAAAACAAAATAGATGTCCAGGGACAAGAATCAGGAGACAGCCCAGGACACAAAGTCAACTCTTACCTTCTGTGTGTACCTGTGCAAGATGAGTGCAAAAGTTGGAGGGACTGACACCACTGTAGTCAAGCTGCAAAAACCACTTTCTTATCGTTCTGGTTCAAACGGTGGCTCTTAACATGCTCTTCTCTCCAGCTTCTGTTTGGTTACTAATCCTTACTGCACAGGAAAAGGAGAGTTGGGTTTCATTTAACCCCTTCGGCCTCTAAGTTTCTTCACAAGTGTTTTCTCTTTTGCTTGGAAAAGCCAGAGTTGTAATCATGCATGTGTGCATGCATGATGTGGAGTTGTTTCTAGCTCCTGTAGTCTGTGTTGTGAGCACACACGTTGGCTCTAAACTGTGCCTTAAGTTATTAAAGGGGTGGAGCCCTTTATAACTAGTTGTATTTTAGCTGCAGGCAGCATATCAAAAGTGAGACAGTTATCTACAGATCCCTTTGGTACTCATTTCTGTAAGTTCCTAACTCTATTAGTTAATTTAACATTTCCTTTAAAACTAAAGCCAGACTCACAGTTCACAGATACTCTTTTGACCAAAGAAAGTCTGAACTGAAATACAATTCACAGCTAGATCTGGCTCTAGGCAGAGTTAAGCAGATTCCCAAGGTCTGAAAATACCAGCACTTTGGATACAGATATGAATTTAACCAAAGACAATGGCAGCTCAGGTTTCTCTGTTTTTGCCTCTAACAAATGCCATGCAATTCAGATACCCTCTGAAAAATCCCATGAAGGAACAATTTAGCAATAGAAAAACCGTACAGGGAACACAAATCTAGCTGGATGCATTACAAGAAAAACTTGTGCTGTTAATCATGTGGATAGTGGAGAAATCATTGCATAACAACTTACGTGTTGCTGTTGTTGTTTTATCCAGAAAACAGATTATTTTTCCCCTCTATTGATTTTTTCCTCTGCTTAGTATAAAATATTGAAATACAAAGGTCACTGATCTATAAAAATAGATTCTGGCCAGCAATTATAACAGCTGTCAGCATTTCAACCCTGCTTAAAAAAATACTATGACAGAAGTCTCCAAGATTATGACAAAATCTTTAAAGTCTCTTGGGTTGTTTTTTTGCTTGCCTTCCAGTGTTAGAGTCCTTTTTCGTCAGCAGTTCATTTGAAACTAGTAAGAAAGAGAACCTTGCTTTCAAAAGGAAAGCTGAAGCTTCTGCCTTCAGGTAACTTCATATGCTGGATCTACAAGGAAGACATCAAACGTGCAATGAAATATCCAGAACTGGTATCACTGCTCTCTTCTTGACCACATTACTACTTTAAATGATAAAAAGAGACAATAACCTTGGCAATTGTTGACAAGCCTAGACAGCTCCAAACTGAAAAGAAGCTTCTAACAATGTTAAAAATGCTCCAGGTGACACAGAAGCACACACACTACAGCAAGCAATTTTATTCAAGGGCTACAGCTGTTTTAATCCCTGCTGGTCAATCCCTGTCTGGCAACAAGCTACAAAAGGTACAAGCTACAAAAAGTACTCAGATCCTATGGTTACACATGCCATGTGGGACGGAGTTCAAACAAAGTCACATCTTTTACACATGCAAAAGCAACCCTGTACTTTCCTGCCCCAGCTAGCTCTGGCACAATAAACAAAGCCTACAGGATAACCCGTAACAGGAAAACCAGCACAAAAGGTCAGTACCTCCAACAACAAGAAGGGGGGCTCCAAAGTTTTAAAGATATGACATACCCCAGAGGAGTGTCTAATGGTGGTGCTGATGCATGGCTACCTATGTTCCCCCTGTCAGAAGAGTCAACAATTGTACACAGTTAACATCTAACAAAGAATATAGAAACTATTGCTTTTCCCATTTAGAATCAGATTTTTCTATAAGAAAAATTTTTGTGGGCCCTTCCTTTCTATCAGAAAGACACTCCAGCAGCTTATGCTTTTGCTTTACCCACCCTTTACTCTTAACTGGCTCTTGGCTACTGCCATGCTGCCAGCTGTCACAATGATATTCCAAGGTTCATGATATCCAGCCCCCACAAATAGCAGTCTGAACCCTTGGCCTGATACGAATAAACCACGCTTTCAGATTAGTTCAAAGCTTTTAGCGTGTATCATTAGGAAGAAAAGACTTGAAATTGAATCCTAAAGCTTTGAAAGTTAATAGGGAAAAAACCACAACTCCAGATGAATTTATAAAAACCTGATCTTTAAAATTTCTTCTAGCAGCAGCAGGACCCTTATTGAACGATTTTTTGGAAATACCAAGTTTAGCAGTGTCCCTGTGGTTCTCCTGTTCTTGCTGATAGTTATAAGGCTACAAAGGAGTTTAGAAACAGGGAAAATGTGACTGTCCCTGCTGAAATCTAGCCAGGACACATCCGAACAACAGCTGTGCCTACTGCACTAAAGCAGATACTGCGTAAACACATCTGGATTTATTTTTAACCCCATAAAACCTTAATAGATAACCTGCTAAGATGCTAAAATAACAAGAAGTGACCAGAGTTTTACTGCAACTAAGCAGCATGAAACACTGATGAAACTCCTTTTATTAAGGGAAGAAATGGAAAAGTCTGCTCATACTTCCTGGTTCCAGCAGAGACATGACAAAACCAGAACCTATTCAGGAGGGATTTGAACTCAAGACCCGTCCTTATCAGGAAAAAGACAATGCAAATACGAAGTAAATCTTTGCCCTGCAGCTCTAAAGAATGTTTTGCGTGTGTACCTTTTCTCTGTCAGAACGGACATTATCCCTGTGTTGAAATTAGTTCATCATGTGCCATTATGTATGATAATCCACTGATTCAGGACCATTCTTGTCTCTTGATAATTGATAAGACACCCACAGTTCTCTATGGAGTGAACACAGGCAGGACCAAAGGCATTTCCCTCTTGCCACTAGCTCTAGCCAGGGGTTAGCCCAGAGGCAATGGCATCTGGGTGTTATGGATGAGATCATCCAGAAGAATCAGTTAAGGTGAATGCACAGTAAATAGGTGTTGCTGACCAAGATATCCCTCCTAATCCCAGCAGTGAAGTGCTTCTGGCAAGAAGCAATCTCTACAGGAGTTGTGATGCTGGAATTTCAACAGTTACACAGAGGTCAGCAGTAAGACTTCTGCTTTCTTTTATTATACTCCAGAATTACCTTTCACAGAAAGAAACCACCAAGATTCCTTACTGCCAGAGGCTGTTTTCAAAGAATATCTAAAGATACCTATCTTGCTATGCTGGACACAGCTCCTCTCTAACTAGTTAAGGCTGTCTAGCACTTTTACAGCATCATCGGTTTTATTTTATCTGCAAGCAGCATTATTTCTGTTTTTTCAACTAGAAACCCAGTTGGATTCAAGTCAGGAAATTTAGGTTCCATTCTCAGGTATTCCATAACTTACCGGGCAAAATACTTTTCAGAGAAGCTGGTTCTCAATGAGATAATGTGAATTCAGTTCAGGCTGGCTTCTGAAGCACTGTTACCCAAGAAATTCATATGAGACTCACAAAGCCTCAGAAGAGAAGCTCGTCTCAGTGGCTTGGGCCACTGAGGAAGTGAAGGATCGGTGCTCAGTTTGTTTAAGAGATCTGAACCTTCCAGGACACTACTGTGATCAGGAGACCACAGCACAGAGACACATTACAAACTGTTTTTCTTGATCTCTCCTTTAGTCCTTTAGCCAAAGAGAAAGGCTCTGTGATGTTATGGTTATGTTAGGCCACATACTTAGGAACAGGATATTTGCTTCCACTTTGATTTCAAATTAACATGCAGTTTCTCAGGTAAGCGCTGTAGCCAAATCAAAGGAAACTGACAGCCACTCACATACTTCGGCCTAGTGCTGTAGGGCATTTTATTCAGGACATATCCTCAAATTCTTTTGAGCACGTGATACCACTAAGCTGTAATCTGACATTCCGGGTAAGCGTGCTGATACCTGAATGCCAAAGGGATGTCAAACCAAGTCCACTGCCATCAGGGACACCACAGCACGTCATTCCTCCTATCGAGTGCACAGGGAGCTGAAAACAAGAGGCTTCAGCTCACTCTGAAAAGAAAGCATCTCTTGACATACTAAATTCTTTTCTTCTTATATTTTAAAGAAAAGGCAGAATAGACAAATTTGATTCAATCTGAACTTTTTTTTCAAATTTGAATAATAGAGCACTAGTAACTCGGTTCTTCCCAGCCTCCTACTCACTATCACAGGATAGGCATGTTGTTTAACCCTCTGAATCACAGCCTCTTGGTACATAGAATGAAAACCCTTGCTAATCCCTCAGGAAAGAAGGCTCAAATTCATGTCCAAGAGACACTGTGAGGTCCTGACAGGAAAGCCAGAAATTACATTACAAGGCTACACACCAGTCAGCTCTGCTGTACAACTCAGCTGCATCAAAGCCTGTCATCCCCTTGCAGTAACTCTTGCACTGCTCCCTCTCTCCTCTCCAGAGACCCAAGAACTCTTCAAGTTCTGAGGACTTTGTAGAGCAATTATCCAGTGCATCTTCTGTACAGGTGCTGCTACTAGCAGAAATAATTGTGTTGTTGTTTGCCAGCATTGGGTTCTGCACAAGTTCTGCTAGAGACACTGTATTTCTGAAATCTGGAGATCTTTCCAAAGGCAGGTTTTCGTGAAATGCTGATATGTAATGAAATAAGTATCATACAGGGCTCTTCCACCTCTTTCACACAAAGGTCTTACAGCTGTGCTTTTGTGAAGTTTTGGGGGCTTCTAGGTGACTTTTGAGAGATTTTCCTCATGTTTTCCAGGAAGAAGCCCACTTTTCCTTGCCCTAAGGGTCAGTAAGCAACAACTTTGTGCTCCTCTTTATTTGTACACCTTAAAAATCCCAGGTTACCTCTAGCTTTTGATTTTTATTCAGCAACATGTTTTTTTGTTCAGTGCGAGCTGCTAGCCCAGGATTCCCATCTATCAGTTTATGTACTCATGTGAATCATCCAGCTCCCTCCCCCTCACCCAAGCACACTCTCTCCAAGCCATTTTTTCACTCACCTTGTCAGAGATTTCCTGTCATTAAGGTACCAGCTTCATTCCCATCCAGCCACCCTTCTCGGGCACTTCCATTTAATACAGCCCAGAACAGTGAAAAACAATGCAGTCATCAGTATTTTGCTATAATCTGTTCCAGGAACAGAACAACACTTGATCACAGACGCTTGGCCTGATGGGTGCCCTTCTCTTAGTCCCTTCCTGACAACTAAGCCAATTACTGTTCTGTGCTCTCCAGGGCAGATTTAAGATAAATTGGCTTTTTGAATTCAAAGAACGAGGCACCTCTCTTCATCCTTTTCCAAGATGAAGGAAATGGTAAGCCTGTCACTTCGTATTTATTTTTATTCTCATCCAAATCACGCATGGCTTCTATTCAGGCCAACTTTCTGAATAAGCTGATGATACTACACACACATTCCAGCTCTTCATCCTTAGGCCATTTAAAGAAGAAAAGAAGCACACACTGATAACACTGGTGTTCAAAAAGAAAACAGCTTCCATGTGCTGTGAC